CTTCCTCCAAGTTGATTCATTCAAAACGGGTGGTGTTTTGTTTCTGCTTCCGCATTTCAAAGAATTCTGCTGGATGCCATCTCGGCATCGGCCCGATTAAAATCGATTGACGTGGTAGTGGGCCAAGCTGGTCGATAACTACAGTTGAAACTGGGTTTTGCGTTTTGTTTCAGGCACAGTTATCAACAGAGGTGTCCCATAATTATGTATCATTTAGTTAGCTAATAACGGAATATACAAATGGTTGCTTTTTTCTTAGGTTACACATTTTAAAAAGGGTAATGCAAAAAAAACATTTTTAACTACCTACATATTTTTATCAAAATTCCAAAATTCTCATGATTTGGAATTCAGCTTCCGTGCCCAATTTAGTTAATTTAAATAATTACAGCCACGAATTTTACATTTGTTTAAGAAAAATCTACTTGCTTTGGTCACGGTCTTTCAAAATCGCTAAAATTGCATTGTGTTATTATTTAAATCATCTAATCAAGATAAATATTTGAAAAACTGCAACTCAAGAAAACTTGCGAGAAAGATACGAGATGAATATGTGGTGCTGCAATGTATATAATAATTGTGAACGCGAAACACCCACCCGGCAAATTTAGGAGAGATTAACAGATCTAATCTCATCCATAAATAAATTAATGTAAATGGATTATCTGACGACCTGTACGTATGGGAACACAGCGAGCGCAGCGAAATCTAGAAGCGATCTTACTCGTGATAGCGTTCGAACGCAAACAGCGAACCGTGTTAACACAAAATTCGTTAAGAATATGTATAGAAATTTCACAATATTAACATGTTACAAATACTTCCTATAAAATCACGTTATTCTGCACAATAAGTTTTATTTGTAATAAAAAATATATTCCAATACAATTGATTTAGTAAATACAATAATAAAACAAATCAGGCATCAAAGACATCTGACCGACGCCTTTTTGGAACCAAAAACCATTAAATGTCAAAAAATTGGTCTCCAGTTATTTAGACAAACTTCTGAGATAAATTACAAAAATTGATTTTGCATTTTTGAAATAAAAAATTTCTTCCTACACACAGATATAGACACATTATTTTACAATTTCAAACATGATTTACTTAACACACTTTTCAGGTGGTGTCAGTAAAATTTTAGTGGGGACGAATAGACAAATTTTGGTTAACAATTTGTCAAGCTGATAATAACATCAAAACACATGCTAAATTTCAGAGCAATTGATTTAGTGGTTTCTAAGACAAATTTGTTGTTTTTTTTCAAAGAATTTGCACAAGCATTACCTAACAAAATTTTGAGATAAGGGCATCAACTTTTTGGAAACAATGAACAGATAAATTTTTGTTTATGATTTACCACTTATAGTAATGTGTAAGTGTTTATAAAAATTCGAGCAGTCGATTGTGTTTTTCTCAAGATAAATTTTAAAATTTTCTTGCACAGTTTTGATTTTTTTCCAAAAATTGAGATGTCTGTTGCTTGTGATGAGCAAATTTTGATTAGGGTTAACTATCAACATAATAGTCTGAAAGAATACTCAAAATTTCACAGCAACATATCCAGTGGTTTATCAAAGAGACGTTGATAGAATCCTTACCTACCAGACCTATTGCTCGGAAGGTACAAAATTTGAAAATGATTTTTATTTTAATGACATTCCTCAATATTATTAATAAAAACAAAAATAGGAAAAACTTGAAATTTTAAAGAAAGACAGAAAGGAGAAACAAAACAATTAAATTACTAAACTTTATTAGAGAAGAATTGAGAAAACAAGGGAAAAAACGGGCTCAACATTTAATAAGTACACGATAACATTGAAACATAAGCTTTATTGACTTCAAGATTTACGAATGTAACGCACTACGAAACAACGAAATCCGAAAACTCATTACGGAGCTTAGAACCAAGAAAATTGCCAAAACATTTTGTGAACAATCATCAAAAATAACTTTGCTAATTTACTCGAGTAGGATTAAAACAGACGAAGCTGCTGGAATGGGCAAACAACGCAAAAAAGAGAAGAATGGGAGAAATCGTCCCATTAAGAAGAGCACCGCAGCTATAAAATATCATATAAAATATATGTGTTTACGAAGCAGGACAAAAAGCTACTTAGAGAAATCTTTATCATCACGCGAATCCATACTTTTCATTCACTTACTTTAACCATACGATAGCGCATTTAATAAATAAAAAAAAAATTAATTAAAAATAAGTGGACCGTTCCAGACCACGTTTGTGTCCCAAATTCAAATAAAGTGGGTTGTTTTGCGCAAGCGCAAGCAATTGCTTAGCTCGTTCAAAGAATTCTACAGCTACATAAACAAGAAGTCATTTCGAACAGTATTTATATATTATCCAATAACTAAGTTTATTACCAAAATGTAATAATGAGAAAAAAAACAGGAATTCATATACGCTCTTGGCGAGAAATAAAACACGAGTATTTTCACAATAATCCTTTTTATTTTTCACAAAATTGATCAACTTTTGAGATGATTTATACGTGAGCAAATACGATAAACAACTAAAGTTAAACACGAAGTTCACATCCACCAAAAAAAATCAACAGTGTTTGAAAAAATGAAACAAATTTTAATCTCCCCAAGCTAATTTCATCCTGTATGTGTGAATGATGTAATATACAAAGGAACATAAAATCAAACTGAGCAAGTTAAATTAACTAAATTTTTGTTCAGACGGGTAATTGTTGTTTTTGACTTACAGATTCATTTGCTTTGGGGACTCACAATGACCCCTGGAAATACTGAAACATGTTTACCGTCCTAAAACAAGTTTGATTTTTTGGAGGTGGATTTCGTATTTATTTGCTCTTTTTATAAAAAGTCTGAAGTGCATAATGTATGAAGAGCCATAAAAGTGCGACTTTACAATAAAATGTAAATTTTTATACCCAACAAGAAAGAACATCAGAGCTCTGAAAGAAGAAGAAGATATTGCGAGGAACTTATGGAGCCATACATGGAAGCGACGCATAGGCAAAGAGAATAACTAAAGATCTAAACAGACGAAATGTATATAAGAACTGGTTGTATACAGAATATAGTAAGATCACAAAAGCTTAGACACCCCTTTAATCATGCCAATCGTACAACTCAAAGCCAGTTGATAAAGCTAACTAAACTTGAAATGATGTATAGAACATATATTTAGATTTTATCTTCTATCAAAAGGCCGCTAGAATACTCGACATTGCCCACATCTTTCAGTAACTCTGGAAGTTCAAAATGGCAGATTATTCTTAGACAGAAAAAGCTTCTAAAGCAAGGTTACACAACACTAACTTATTTATTTTACTGTTTTTGAAAAAAGTATTTATTTCATAACGTTACGTACTCATGAGAAACAAAAATTTTAAAGTTGGCATGAAAATATAAAATGTATTACAAACTTAAAATGTTCTTCAACTGTTACTGCTTTTGATAATCTATAATTATGTTGTATATTATAATAATCTATAATTATGTTGTTTTACTACTTCTAGAAAGAAGATTGTCTCGATGCGATTAGATATGAAAGCAACGATCATCTGATGCATTAAACCGACAACAATGAGTTGTCGGTTTATTGCTGAATAGTTTTAATGACAATCATTATAGACGTTTTCCGTAAATCTTTATTTTCGATTTACACTTTTTTGAATAATGAAGTTCTCTGATATCAGTAAAACATGTTACGCTTAGAAAGCATGCGTATAAAGCGTAAGACCACACACTCATTTGAACAATGCCAGAAATAAAAAAAACTAGCAATTTTGAGAGTTAATGCGTTAAGCAATTAATTTGAAATGGGTTTTCTTGTTGGCCAAAAGCTCATAATTCTTAATTGAATAGCTATTATACGAGATAATTCGCCATAGAATTGTGTTATAGCTTTCAACCAAATGCTTTGAAAAACGTAGATATATGGCTTTGTGAAGTAAGTTTACAATTCTTGTATATTTTTTAAACTGATGAGCATTTTGTACTTGTTTAAGATCTTACCAGTGCGATATATAGTTCTTTACAGAGAAGTTAGGAGTTATAAACTATTCTTACACGAAATTAAAATAGAACAGAAAAACAGAAACTTAGTGTTGCAGATATGAAGATGACGATTATTGCGCAATTATCAGCCTCCCTCTTTCATGAAACTGTGATAAGAAGAATCTGATATGGTAGACAGCACATAAAACCGCTCTGCTCGCCGGATCCCATACCTCGATGCCAGAACTGGCCCTACAAATGCAAATATTTGGCATTCTAATCGCGCCTTTCACCAAAAGCCTGCAGCGTCCCGCAGAATAAATGTCAAAATTTTCGCCTCGAGCGAATTTTCGCAAAAAGCTCGCGCTGAAAATCGAACCGATCCGTTGTCCTTTTGTTTCGTGCGCGGTTGAGCTCGAAACTTCTTCCAAGTTTATCCAAAGCGGGTTTTGCTCGTGCAGATCCGCACTTCGGAGGATTCTCTCGGATGACACCTCGCCGCGTCAACGCCTGATTAAAATCGAATGACGTGTAGTCGGCGAACCCGATCGATGTCGATAATTAAAAGTCGGTTTTTGTCTAGTGCGACTACTCTGCGCTTCCACGACGAAACTAACGAGTTCCATTACCATTTCCGGAGGCGGCGTCGGCGGCAGCGGACTCCGGCAGCCAGAATCGTATCTGGGCCGAATCAGAGCAGGTGTGAATAATTAAATTATAAGCATGTCGGTGCAAAAAAGCGGCCGCAGATCGATTGTGCCGGTTCGGCGGCGAAAATCGGCGGAAACATCCATCTCTGGTGAAAAATTGCCGATAGAAGTGGTGAAAAAGGCACGGAGGGTCGGGGAACGCCGCCTTCGGCGACGAATTGTAAATATTGACTCGCGACAAAAAAGCCTCCGGCTGTTTCTCCCCGCGAAAAAATCGATTTGAAAATTTTCGATCGGGTGGTGGGGGAAAAAACGCCGGAGACGCTGAGATGGAAATTCGTGGAAAAAACTTACCCCCTGGAAGTTTCGGTCGAGTTTTCGATTTTTCGATTTTTATTTTAACGCCAACCACCCTCGGAGCAGCACGGTAGCCAACTTAATGCGATCAAATAGCACCGAAAACGTGAAATAACCAAAATGCCAGTGCGCATATTCGTGCCCGGAGTCGGAGGAGCCAGGGCCGGATTTGGCGCTCCGGGCTCGAAAGCGCCAGGTACCGCTTGCAAAATTAAACAATTAATCGCATGAACACTGAAGTATCTAGAGACGAAAGGAATTCTGAACGCCGACATTTATTAGACGGAGTCCTAAATAAGAAGATGACGCTTCGATGTGGCACTTCACTCCTTCTGCGACAAACGATACCACAGAAATCGAATCATCGCTATGACTAATTGTAGACATTATTTTGTAATACGTAAATTACACAAACAAAGCCGACAAGATCGTTTTAATGACAGTAGCGCTCACTAAATGAAACATATTAGTAATTTTTGGGATAAAAATTGCTGCAGAAAATAACTTGTGTGGAAACCTTACTTTATTGAAGTTGCATACAAAAATTGTAAATACTGGGAACTTAAAATTAATTTATCAAACTTTTAAATTTGTGTTGTTTACGGTATTAAAACTACTGTAGTAGCACCAGAAAGAATGAGAACAATACCATTTGTTGGGTCATTTAAAAAAAGTTCCTTTTATCAAAATAAGCTTAAAATTATAGCATACAACAAAACAGTAAATACACATAAGAATATGTAACAAAAGCAAAGTTTAGAATTTTTTATTTTTATTCATTCCTCGGCAATTTTGTGTGCCTACTAAATACTGCAATACAATAAAATCATATGATTTACTAGTACGTGGATAAGTAGACAGTTTTGTACTGACATGTCTACGCTAGTATTCCAATTCTACAAACCAAAATTCACATGTATAAAATGTACCCATACAATATTTTATTTATCAGTAAAACCGACTATTATGATTTAACTTTCGACAAACCTATTTCTTCACAACCATGTTATTGAAGGATGATTCAGGGATTACGAGAATAAAAAATACAGTACTATAACACAGAATTACCCAAAAACTATGTTGAATGTCTTCCCAGTACGTTATAAAGACCTTCGAGTGTCGAACAACTACTTGACGTCATTTTTGTTAAGCGCAAATGCACGATTTATCAAATTGTCCAGGAATTTATCCAAATGTCACTGCTCTGGAATAAAAGTTCCAAAAAGCATAAAAAATATTCTTATGTAAATGTATTAACAACAAAAAAGAAACACTAAAGAATAACAAGATATAACGACTTCTACCATGTATATTTAAAAAAAAAGGCTGAGATGGTGAAAGGTATTTCAAAAGAAGACTCTGACATTTCTGAACATACGGTGTGTCCCACTTTTGCTGAAAACGCCTCAACATTTCCTTTATCCAACTGAGGATTTTTAAAGATTCCCTACTCTTACCTTTAAATATTTCTGAGATTTTATTTTTGACCTACTACGACTTTCAACAAGAAGCAAATCTCGAATACTGCGCTTCACGTTCAAAATATAACAAAATGATATTAAAGGGAGGTTCGTTAAACCGTTTTCCCGAAATTAGGTTGTGTCTGCAAAAACAAGGTGTGTAACAGTAATTATTTTATGAAAATACAAAGCAACGACGTCATTCAAGTTTGACTTTTGCACATTCAGTGTTTTATGACACCCAAAGAGAAAGTTATTAAATGGAATCAAGAACTTGCATATTAGAAAAAAAAAAATACATATTAGAATATTTCAGTGAAACTCGTCTGAAAACTTCTTTCCTTTACATTTTGCTCTACCTCCACGTAAAGTAAAATATTGAAAATGTCATTACCCTGGAAAAGCATAGCAGGCCAGTAGGAGTAAAAGGACATTAGACTAGAGCACTGCAAAACCTATTACAGGAATTGAAAGACAAAAATTGTATTAAATACAGACGGAAGTACATTTAGTGTAATTAGCTTACCAGGTTATTATTAAATAACCGTTGTAAATTTGTCTGAAAGGTACTTTCCATAATGATAGACTTTGCAACGGAGGTGTAGAGATCATTCCGAAAAATTCTAAGCCATTTTAAAATATTTGTCCTGAATTTCAAAATAGGTAACCATTTTGTACTTTATTACTAAAAATATTCTTGACTTTTCTCAATTTTTAAATACGTGATCAAAAAACCCTTGCCAGTCCCCTAGCTACCTAACTAACCCTAACTTCAGTGATATACATAAAAAATTCAGTAGGTTAATTTAACAATTTTGAAAACGGATTCACTTGGTTCATCCAGTTACGTCAATGTTGAATCCCATAGTCATTCTTAGTGTAAACCAAGCTGAAAGGATAATGAAGCGTATCATATTCGGTGTATACATAAATATGTAGCAACTGTTGACATTTCGAAATTTTGATTTAACAATTTAATCGAACTTATAAATTATTATTTTATTAACTTTTTTACACTATTCTATTCTAGAAAAAGCATTCGTTAATTAGTAATATGAATAACGATTGCTTTTCTGTGGAACCACCTATCCCAAAAAGAATTACTTAAAAAAATTTGAATACTTTTCACACATCATTTCATTTTTTACAAACTTGAAATAAATTCACTCAAAATATAATATTTACATATGAATCTGAAATCGAATTTTACTACTACACACATAAATAGTTTTGTTGAATCACAATTATGTTAATAAGGTAATAAATTGGCCACATAAACGACAACCATTATTATTAGTTTTAATTTATGACCAAAAAATACCGCCAACGCAAATCATGTTGGAATTATTAACAAATCGAGCAAATCTGAAACGACGTTAGCGCAATAAAAAAGTAAATTAAAGTTGATTATGATTTTATTATTTGATTTAGTAACTCTGTTTCGTGATTATCATCCATGCTGTCAATATGTTTTTAAATTACTGGTAAAATTAACGTATAATACTGACATCCCTAACATGTGCGTATGACGTTGGCATCAATTAATTTAAACCCCAAAACATGTTGTGAGCATGATATAACGCTGAATAAGCAGAATTACCAACGGAAGATTTAAGCAACCAAACCAAATTCGTTTTTGCATCCCCTGCAGCAAAAAAAAATCAATTATTTATACTGAACTTTCCTGGTGTCGAAAGGACAACCATTACTCCAAGCATAATCCGGCGTATTTGTCATGAAAACTTATTTTTTATTTGATGAGACAATAAATAAATAACATAAAGTCAATTCCTTAAAGAGATGATTAGACATGCAAAATTAACTAATTTAAAACACGTAAAACTTCATAGTGGTCTGACAATAATAAACGAAACTTTCACATTTTCCTATCTATAAACTGTGAAACATCGCGAAAATACTAAATCAGATACCCGTCAAAGGATCCATTAACGTGAGTAGTTGTGAATGAGGCACTACTTCTGTGCTATAGAAACATGAATTTTCGATTACTTTCTTTAGATACATTTGACTAATATTGCAGACTACAGATGTGTTTCGATGCTACTGCAAAAGCAATAGACATTCCTTTTGTGAAATAAAAAATCTAGTTCCGAGCAGCAATAACATTATGCACATTAATTTTGCAGTGTTAACTCAACATATATTTTCTATTAATGGACTTGACTTAAATACTTGTAACAACAAAGAATCTAGAAGTGGCAAAATACAGTCCTGTAAACAACATAAAAACAAAAAAGCAGCTAGTTCAACATAAACCGGCAATATACTCTGAGTAAGACGTCGTTCTCTAGGGGCCCCACTTGCGCGGGTGCGTAAGTCCGGTCCTGGCACCAACACTCGGAGCTTTCCGGAGGGTCGAAGCGGAACGTTCCCGCCGTGCTCCGGCGGGTTTTCCTTCGTCCAGTGGCGCCCCCTTCGCCGACATGTTTCGATATTGATTTTCCCGCCCTTCGTTTCGTCTTTCTCTAGTAAATGAGCTATAAATTATTGTGCCTTCTCGCTTCGCATGCAAAAAACCGGAGCATGATGATGATGATCTCGGTAAGTCGCAATCAATGGCCGAGGAACTAATTGTGCTTTAAAATCGGTGATTTATTGCTGGATATGGTGCACAATGGGTCCATATTGTTCCGAGTAACGGATGCTTTGCCGTGAACTGTTTCTATTCTCTCGCGAATCTCTCTCTGGATAATTGTTTCGATCTATAACTGAGTCTATTGTCGGACGAGGCTTCCATCAATTACAAAAACAAAGATGCGTATACATGGGCGCAGCGATATCCTTGCGGAAACGGCAAAAACACAATTCCTTTTGTCTAGGGCTTTTTCGACCCCGTGCATACGGAATGGCGAGATTATACCTGGACATGACGTTAATATTACTCGCGCGACGGTATATTGATAAAGTAGGGTGTAAACGATGGTAACAGGCTGGCTTTTGTAATGTCGTGAGAGCCACTCGGTTTTGCTTTACTTAAATATACGGAACTAACCTAGAAACTGACTTTTTGAATTCATGGGAAAGAAGCTTTACACGACTGGTTCCTGAAATTTCGCCTTGTTACGGAAGGCGAAAACTTACAAGAATAGTTAGCTGTATTAGGTTTCATATTTTCGTCAAGATATACGTCGAATTTTGATATTGCATGTTCTGAATTCATTTCTACTGCTTCTTATTGTATTAAACTAATAAAGACGTCAAGAGATTCGACTCGTCCTATTATCTGACATATCAATTGTAAATAGCTTTGCGTCTGACTCAAAATATGTGAGGTATTTCATTTATTTGATTATATGATGCCTGTATGTCATGTGCCAACAAAAAAGGTAATAAAATCTAAGAAATAAAGAGCAATCGAAACTTAATTAGTTTGCCTTGACACTATCAATGTCCTCGCATACATGAACTTCCTGTTAACCCTGATCTCTACATTACAGGCTATCACAGTATTTTTTATCAAATTTGGATATACATGACCACAAAACCTTATAAATATTTCAGAAAAATTTAATATACAGGGTGATTCACGAGTAATAATGAGCCTAACCATGCCTAAGATGCAACCCAAAATACATTTTCAAAGGTTTCATAGATTTATTATTCAATTTATCACAAATATTAA